AAGTTACTTATTAAAATTGATACAATTGTATATTTTAAATTTTAGTCTTATATAAACATAAATGTGAGAGCCAGTGGCATCCTTACTTACACTTTCTTCCGTTTCTCATCTTTTATTAGTTCGTACCCTTTGCAGTTTCATCAGTTTCGTCACCTTTCACCAGTTTCGTCATTTGAGTTTTTAGTTGACGAAAGTCAAACTAGGTTTCAACTTTAACCAGTGCGAAACCTCAAGGTTTCGTCTAGCAACTACAGGAACTAATAAGTTTGCATCTATTCGGTGTTACGGCACACGTCGGTGTTACGGCACACGTCGGGTGTTACGTCACACGTCAATTATAGCTTTTTGACGTATCATCACGTCTTTGAGTTACGTCTAATTGACGTTAGAATCAGTTACGGCACTAGCATATGTCTGCATCTATATATACAATGCACTTATCATTATACTTATATACTAATTTTTAGAATCACATGTACAAGTATTATGACCTGCTTGTCCACAAGTACTACAATGATGAAGCCTATTGACAATTGAATTTTTGTTAACTAAATACATAAATTCAATTATTAGCATGCTAATAATTTATGTTTTGATGATATAGTATAAATCTAAACTTACCTATGCTTATTAAATCTGAATTTTTAACACTATTAATATTTTTTTGATCAATAGAGTAATCTTTAACTATATTATTACTCAGTTTGTTTTTACTATCTGAATTGCATGTATGAGCATTGTGGCCACTTTGACTATATATTTTACAATAACACAATGTATTCTTATGATTAAGATCCTTGTTAGCTGTGATATATAATAATTAGTATTAATATTACCATTTTCTTTTTGAATAATGCAAATTTTTAACTTACCTATACTTAATAAACTTGAATTCTCAACATAATTCCCCTGCATACTATCCATCTGATTAATTGAACCATCCAAATTGCATGTATACACATTGTGCTCTATTTGGCCACAAGTACCACAATGATGAGATCGGCTTTTTAGACTTTCTTGGTTTGTAATATCTTGCATTTGTTTTCTATACGTATTCAATGTATCATTATGATTTACCTGAATTGCACTGTCCGTTTTTGACTTAAGTATATCAAATTTGCATTTTTTCATTTTCGACCTTTGAAATGAATGCTAACAGGATTGTTAATCATAGTTATAAAATTATTATGATTATTGTCTGTCTTGAGTTCCATTTTCATTTCTTTCATTAGATCAAGGTGCATTTTATATAACTCTTCATACTGTCCTGTTGCAATTGATAAATTGAGAACCTTTTTTATAATGCTGAATCCTTTGCCCCATTATTGCTTATATATCATTTCTTTGCAAACATTATTGGTAAAAACATGACTTCCACGAATTTTTTCAATATGCTCAAAATTGACATAAATACATGTTCAAACAATCCAAAATTATTATTATATATTGCTGAAATCACTAGCTAATTTGCAACATCTATCTCTTTTTCACACACTATCTTGTCCAAAAACTATCTATTAGATATGAGCCTAATATGAAATTTTGCAACTTTTGATATTAGCATCACTGCGAAGAAGTACCAGCAAACAACCTTATGATTAATTAGTATCAAACAGATGCAAAGATGCATTGCCTTATTATATAAAACTATAAAATGCTAGCTCTTTGCATCGATAGATGAAACTTTCCAAATTTTGTAAATATGTTTATGGTCTAAGTCACTAATTAGTTCTTCTAGTTCAATGATGAATGCATCAAACATATTATTAGTAAACATTCCAGTTGATACTTCATTGGCTATCTAAAAAAAAAAAAACAGTTTTAACCTAACAAATTCTATTCGAATGTAATTGCAAGTAATAATTTAATTATTTATTCACACAAGTAATACAAAACAAATACAAATAAACCTTTTCTATACTATTAATGAGAACTTGCAGTAAAAATTATGTTAACATAGAAAATATACCTGACATTGAAATTCATCTACCAAATTAACTAGCTGTGCTTGATAATGGATATTGCGGTTCATTTCACAATGCTGAATTTTAAGAATTGCTACTGTCAAAAATTTTTGACATGACTCATCAACCAACTTAAAATATCTATTACAATAATTCTCATTATGAATCACTGACAGTACACCTTTAATCTCATTAAAATATTAATACCTATCTTCTTTAATAAGTAACCTCTCAATTGTGTTACTCAATTCAAATAGAGATGAAGAGCCATTGACATGTTTTTTTATAATACCGTTGTATGATTCAACCTGCTGAGTAGTTTGTACACTGGCATTAAATGACCTATGTGTAAAACAAAGCACTCATGCTTCCCAGCAGAGATAAAGCTGTTGTTCTATATATGATGCTAATTCAGGATACTTTTGTATCAGATCTCCTCAATGTTTCTCAAATATAGATTCCACATGGCTATTTCATGTATGGCAAAATTCTCTAAAAAATTCTCACCACTTTTCACCCTTATACATACTTAGAAAATGTTTTTCAAGATTTTTTTGTATATGAAAAAGACAAAAATGATGTTTTGTAGTTGGTAATGTTGCACTTACAGCAGCAACCATAGCACAATCAGTATCTATAAATAGTACTTTTGGTGCTAAACTATTTGTTGCCTTGAGCAAGTTTTCTAAAATCTATGAGAATGTTTCTGTTGTCTCATCTGAAATAACTGTGATTGCTACTAGATGTGAACAGTTGTGATTGTCAATAACTATTAAGATACAAAGCATCATAGAATAACAGTTTGTTTTAAATGTCATATTCATGAGAATCATGTCATGAAATCTATCTCACAATTGTATTTGACTGGGTGTCATCTACATAAGAGCAACTAAATGATTATTTGTCCCTTCAAACTTTGTCTCAACAAAATAACCAAGATCATTACATTGTTTTTAATCAATTCCAAGTATGTGCTGCCTGCATTACCTGCAACATGACTTTCATTATAGATCATCTGTATCATGTTATATACATTACGAGCATGAATGTATTTTTCAGGATTTTTTTGTTGTAGAACCTCGATAATTGAACCAGCTCTAAAACTACAAGACGTGAGCAATCTAACATTATCCTTCATCTCCTTTGTTAATCTACTATATCTTGATTCAACCATAGTAATATTTTGAATCATTTCATGATTATGTGTACTGACAATACTTGAAATGCGGATTTGGTTATTAATTTCCACTAATATAGATTTACGTAAAAGGAACAAACTATGATTTTATAATTCTGATCCCTCTCACCAAGTATATGTGCTTCTTTATGTGGCATATATCTCTGTCCTTTTGTACACATATAGACATGCCGCCAAGGTGTCTCATCAGATTTGTCATTTTCACTGTGTGTAATACTAAATGCAAAGCCTAATTCCTGACCATGATGTTCCAACTAGCTATTGAGTTTATATAAGGAAAATAATGATTATTCTTAGAAAAAACAGTAGATTTAAATGGATCTTTTTTTTAATATAAACATACTAGTCAATAGCTTTCCAAGACTCGAAAACCTGACTTTTGACTAATGGATAGGCAAATCTTATATTTTTTTCATGTTCTTCATGATCACCTAATTCTGATTTATTGTTATCATCCATCCTTTCATCATTGTAAAAATCTTCAGAGATCTTATTATCAGTCATGTCAACACTTATAAAACTTTTATTATAGTTCATGTTGACATTCATAAAACTCTTATTATTATTCACACCAAAATTATTATCAACATTGAAGAAATCCAAGTTATCTATAGCTAATAGTGAGGTGCCCAAGAGAATATTAACTTACAAAAAAAAACTGACAAAAAAATAGTAACAGAAATAGAAGTGATGACAATTTATAAAACACGTGACTCAGGAAGAAAAGAGGTATTAAAAAAAGACAACACAGAGAAAAATACCAGAAAAAGAAGATAGTTTAGAAAAAAAAAATAGTTTAGAAAGAAAGGCAAATTGGAAAGAAAAGGTAAATCAGAAAAAGAAAACCTGAAAGAGAATATAATCTAAAGACTACATATGACAAGAAAAAAAAAGAGAAATATTCCATATTGCATTTCACATTCTGCATAGCCTCAAAACATACTTATTACAAATTTAACTCATAGTTCTTCTGCTAGTCTATCCCCTATCTCAGTACCACACATTATTACCAAAATTGACCTTTGGACTATCCAATGAATTAAATATCACACCCCTTTCTCATATATTATTACTAATAACCAAATCTAGATGAGCCTTGGCCATTCTTGTAGGTTTAGGTCACAGATTATATGTTTGAGTCTTTATTCTTCATATGTAATTTAAAAGCAAGCTTTTCTTTGTAAAAACTTCAATTGAATTTCAATAAAGTTAAAGGCATGGCCTTACTGCTAATTTTTTTTTTAAAAAAAAAAAAAAAAATTGATATAAAAGAAACAGCAAAAGCAAGAAAAAAAAATCACAGTGAAAGTGACACAATAAAAGCAAGAAAATGACCAAAAAAAGCAAGAAAGCAAAACAAAAAAGACAGTAAACCTACCAAAAAAAAAGGTACAATGAAAGTAACATGAAAGAGACAGTACAAGCAACAAAAATAAAAAAAATAAGGCATAGAGAAAACGATACAGTGAAATCAAAACTGCAAAAGCAACAAGGCCCAGTAGATGCAACAAGGTAAAAATAACATGATAAAAGGTGCCATAGTAAAAGTGCCATGAAAAAAGTAACACAGTAAAAGCATAGTGCAAGTGATACAGTAAAAGTACAATAAAATCAACACAGTAAAAGTAACAAAATAAAGACAGGACCACAAAAATGGTACTGTAAAAATGAAACTACAAGAGTGACACATTAAAATGACCAAAGCAAAAGTTATATTGTAAAAATAAACTACGATCAAACGATACTATAAAATGCTATAGTGCAAGAAAAAATTGTAAAATCATCTGTAAAAGGCAAATAAATATTAATTAAATAATCTTTTATTGTATAACAAATAAAAAAAATTATATAATGTGTGATGATTGATCTAATACAATAATAAATAATAAATAGTTTATGTAACTGTTAGTGCTAATCACTATAAAGTTTTTTTATAACATTTGAATTAATTCTAATATATTTAAATTATTTTGCATTTTTTAAATACTTTTAATGTACTCAAAAATTTTATCTTCTAAATATTTTGAATCATTTTACTTTTATTTAAATATTAATGTATAATTTTAATAACTTTACTATTTTAGTGTTTCTATATACTTTAAATTGATTTAATCTGCTTGTAAACAATTATTTTTATTTAAAAAATTTTTTCGATTATATGCATACTTGCATTATTTATTGTTTTTAAATTCAGCTTTAATTTTTATTATATGTTTTTATGCAATTAATCATTTAATATAAATATTTTAATTAATAATAAAAAATTATAATATGATGAATAATTATGACTAATTTATTTTTTAACAATGGGTAGCAAATGATGCAAAAGATTTTATACATAGAATTTAGCAATATTTTTTATGCTTTAAATTAATTTACAATATTTCACAATATTTTGAATTATTTTTAAAGTTCATTATATTAATTTATTTAAAATTTTTCAAAAGTATGCAAATATATTTAAAATTTAGCAAGATATTCTAGAATTTTAGTAGCTATTTTAGCAAATTTGGTTACATTTTTTACAAGCTAGATAAACTTTAATTTATTGCTTTTGCATGTTATAGAAGTTTAATTTTTTTAAATATTTTCAC